GCACATGCCCCTGCGCTTGATTTCGAAGGCGGCCTTGAGCAGCCCCAGCTTCTGCTCGTTGTAGGGGGGGTATCGCGGGGCATTGAGGGCTTCCAGGCCCATGTTGCGGTGCAGGCAGGCCCGGTGGTGGGTGAAGGTGTCGAAGGTGAACTTGCCGTGGTATTTCCCCAAGCCGCTGTTTCCTGCAACACACACACACACACGGCACAGGTCCCAACTTGCCACCCAGGACAGGATTTCCTCGTGCCAACCCTCCCGCTGCGGAGCAACGCGGCGGAAGAAAACTCGCCCTCGCCCCGTGCCTCTTCCAGCTCTGCAGCTACTCACTCCAGCAAACCCTCCTGCCGCTTGCCACCGCTTGGAGGTTCCAAGTGCATCATTTTTAACACCCTACATTTATCTCCATCAGCTCCGCGAGGCTCTATTTCCCTCTGTGGTGCTCCACCATGCCTGCCCACGCTTAGGAGCTGCCAACGAAGGTCAGCGTCTTCCCAGAGCTCTTAAAAACCGGAGCCACGTTGGCAACACCGGTTCCCCTGATTCCTGTGGTTGGTTTAAGGTCACCCGTCATGGTTAATAGCCCGGTGATTTCACATCCGAGCTGCTGCGGAAGTTTTGGCCGATGTCATCTCACCTCGATGACCTCAGACCCTTCAACCTGACCGGGCTCTTATAAAATGGCTTCACCTGATAATTTGAGGCAGTTTGGCTGAATCATTTCCATAAAGATAAGTTACAGGTGGGGGAACCACCAAAAATTGTTCCCTGAGCCACAGTCAGGTGAGGAATTCATTGCGCTCTGTTAGGACTGAATCAGCTGCGGGCCTTGACGGAGGTGCCAAGCAGGGGCAGCCTAAAACTGAGATAATTTCCCCTGAGAATATTTTGGGGATTGAGAAGAATATTCTTGGAAAATATCAGAAGCTTCCCGTGTTGCCGTGCTCCTCCCTGGTCGTGCGACAAGCACTTCACCTGAGAAAACAAACGGGTGCTACCCCTGGAGAGGAGAAACTCTTCCTCTTTGCCTGAGAGCATCTCCAAGTCACTCCCTGAACAGGTTCTCCTGACACGTACAAGCCTTTTGCTCCTACTATTTGGTCCTAAAAAAGCACAACAGATGCCCCAGCCTGCTCCTGGGTGACGTTAAGGGCTCCAACCCAGCACGTACATGGGGAACCCTGTGCTCAGGGTGGGATCTGGGGAGATCTGGACCTACCAACCCCACCGAAGGGCAGCGAGGTCAACGTCACGTGCATCAGGGTGTCGTTGGCGCAGAAGCCGCCGCTGCTCGTCCTCTCCAGGACCTGGTTCACCACCTGGGAGGGAAGCAGGGGAGGTGGACGAGCGTTCTCACACCCCAGCTCTGCAGACAGCGCGTAGCAAACGTCACCCAACTCATCCACCAGCCTGAGCTGCCCTTCGGAGCGTGTCAGCGAGGAGGCCACAAGACCCCCCCCTGCTTCCCTCCCCCCCCCCGTCTGCTCGGTGGCCCACACGCACCTTGCAGTCACAGGAGAAGACGTAGAGAGCCAACGGCCGCGGCCGCGCGTTGATGAAGTCGATGGCTTCGTCCATATTGGCCACCACGACGATGGGCAGGACGGGCCCGAAGATCTCCTCCTGCATGGCGGGGTCCGAGGGCAGCACGTCCGCCA